ATCCCGGGACACCTCAGTGGGGGCATCTCCGGACACCCCGATGTTTTGGGTGTCAATGGGGCACCCAGGTCCCATTGAGCGGGGCAGACCCCCCCCCCCCGAGGCTATTTAACCCTGCGCTTGCCCCGCTGCACTCCTGGGGGGTGGCGTGGGTAGGCACACCTGGCATGGGGGTCTGGCACATCCCAGGTGTGTCACCCCTCTGTCCCAGCCCGAGCACCCCCTCCCCTCGATACAGGGGCTGCTTTGGGGGTTGCTGGGGTTCCCAGTACAGGATAAATGAACGAGCTGGCACAAGGCCATCTCTGCCCCCCTCAACCTCAGAAGCAGGCTGAGATCTACCCTGCCACCCCCAAACCGGGCTGGAAACCTCTGACCACTGGTGGCCAGGCCCTGGGACCCCCATTGCAGGCGCCGTGCCTCAGTTTCCCCAGTGGCAAGGTGGCTGGGGGGCTGGGAGGAGAAGGGCGCAGGAGATTCCTGGGTTCTCAGGGAATTTTGTCCCTGGGTTATGGAGAGCCGTCCCCAAAGTGCTGAGCCATGGGGTGGGCAGCATGGGGCTAGCTCAGAGAGTCCCAGGGCTTTGGGGGCATCTTGGGAGGTGAGGAGCCGGGGCAGCTGCTGACAGCATGGCCGGGGGGGGGCTGTTTTGCAGACATGCTCCAGCTGATCAACACGCCGGACAATGACTTCTCCGGGCTGTTTGACTTGCCGTTCGGTGCCCCCGACAGCACCGTGACCCCAGGGCTCTCCCCAGCCCAGGGCACCCTCGGCACCTACCTGGGGCCCAGCAAGCCTCCCCCCGCCGCTCCCACCGGCAGCGTCTACCCGGGGCCCCCCGGGATGGCAGCCTTTGCTCCGCAGCCCCCGACCCCGCTCCTGCCAGCACCGGCTCCGGGTGTCAAGGAGGAGCCAGCGGCCGTGCCCAGCAGCCAGCCCCAGTCCGGCGTGTTGCTGGCCCCCAGTTTCGTCCCCGCATCCTCTGGCCAGTTCAGCCCCCAGCCCTTGGTGGGCTACCAGAACCAGCACAGCTTCTCCGGTGAGGATTTGGGGGTGCGGGGGGGGAGGGTGTTCGGGGCTCCCTGGGTGGGGGCTTGTTGCAGGGGGGCTCTTGCTGGAGGAGGGGGATGCATCCCTGCGGGATGGGGCTGCCTGGGGTGGGCTGGTGCTGGGGGGTCTGGTAATGTTGTCCTCTGCTCCATGCCCAGCCGTGCAGCCCGGGGGTGCA